GCAAAATAAAAATTTGCAAATTGCATTTAGAAGTTTAGAGCTGCATGAACTTCCATCATATCCCAATACCACAAGACATACATGGTCAGTAAAGACATCTTCAAGTTTGGAGAAGCCTAGGTATATTATATTTGGTTTCCAAACAGCTAGGGATAATAGTGCACGAAAAAGAACTGACGAATTTGATCACTGTAAATTAAAAAATCTCAAAGTATTTCTAAACTCTGAATATTATCCTTATAGTGATTTAAATCTTGACTTTGAAAATGGAGATGTCTCTAAAGCTTATGAGATGTTTATGAGGTTTAGAGAGACTTACTATAATACTATCCCAGATCCTATGATTAGTAGGGCTGAGTTTATGAAGAAATATCCACTAATTATAATAGACTGTTCTAGACAGAATGAAACAGTGAAGGAAGGAATTGTTGATATTAAATTAGAGATTGAAACTGCAGACAATGTGCCAGCAAATACATCTGCATATTGTTTGATAATACATGATAAAGTGTTTGAGTACAATCCTTTGTCAAATGAGATAAATAAAATGTAAATAAAAGATGAAAAACATTCAACAAGAATTGGTTGACTCTGCAAATCAAATACGAGAGAAATATAGAGCTTTAAAACGTGGCAAGTTTCTAGAGGCTGAAGAGAGGTTCCAAACATTCCAACCTTTAATAGAGCCATTACAAGAATTAAAAAAAATCACAGCTATTGGCAAAACAGAGAGGCCTCAAATGGAGATACTCCCAATGACTCCATCTAGAATATCAATGATACCAAGATTACAACCATTACAACCATTACAGCAATCCACTCCACAGAAATTAGATTTTGGTCTTTTAGCATCAGACTATTTAGGAAATTACCTCAGTAAAAGTAGTATGACAGACACTACATATGGTATTAGACGAGAAGCAAATAAATTTTTTATTGGAAATAAGGAAGTTGATATTGCCAATGATGATGTCACAGTTGCAAATAAAACCTACAAGGGGACAAAAGGCTTGTGGCAGTTGTTAACTTTAAAAGAACCTGAGGATTATACTCAGGTTGATTTGCAAAATTATAAAGAGATTTTGGAAACCACAAATGGACATTTAAAGAGTTACAAAGATGGTGCACCAATTTCAAGTAATAGACATACTAAATATCTTAATATAATTAAACCTCTTTTTAAATCTGTTGGTGAAGGTTTGAGACAAGTGACTGGTAATAAAATAGACTATATTTATTGGGATGATCCTAATGAGCTTGTAGATAGGTTAAGACTTCTTTGGCTAAGTCGCCAAGCCGGTAACTCAGGAGTGGATAATGAAATAGATTCCATTATTGAGGAATTAAGAGAAAGTGGAATTATTTATTAAATAAAAATATGTTTATAGATAAATTTTATCGTTTATATAATCCATATAATAAGCCTACAGAACCCAGGGCTAGTAATGAACCTACTTTAAATTTACAAGACGATAGTTGGAATTGTTTAAACCGTAAAATTGGTAATGTTAAAGATGGGGAGTTTGTAGATGATGTATCAACTTTGGGTCAGACATTAACTAGAAAAGTTGATGTATTTTTACAAGGTAAAACTAAATATGAGTTTTTAGAATCTAAGAATAGTCCAGTCAATGAATGATCCAAAAGTAGGTGTAGAGTGCGTGAGCAGGTAACTAAGCGATTCCTTCAGAAACTTGTTCAGGGGGCTTAGGGTGTTAACATACCAAAAGTCCTGACTCCTAGGTGGTGAGCCAGGGGGTGGAGGGGGGGAAAAGGGGGGGAAAAAGGTACGCATTTTGGGTTTTTTGATTATATCTCGAAAACTATCAACTTTTTGTATACTATAGTAAATTATAAAATTGAAGAAGATTAAATTTTCTACAAGAAAAGTATATAATGTATTTATTTTGGTTCAACAGGTTACGAGTTATAACTTATTTAATTGATATCTTATTAAAATACTCCTTCCATAAGAAATACATGTAAATTAGTATGCGAAATGGGGCGAATCCTATCCGCCCAAAGGAAATATAACTGATATTCTGGAAATCTTGACCAAATTTCCAGTAATTTGACACTCAAATCATGAAATTTTGTCAAAAATTAAAGCGAGGGTGAGCGTTTAAAAATGGGATGATTTAAGGTTTTTTTTTATATTTCCAATAAAAAACACCAAAACTCGACATTTTGTTACCTCGCCCTCGCCTTAATTTTGGATCAATTTTAATGATTAAAGTGTCAAATTACTAAAAAATTTTGTTAAGATTTCCAGAATATCATTTATATTTCCTTTGGGAGGATAGGATTTGCCCCATTTCGCATACTAATTTACATGTATTTCTTATGGAAGGAGTATTTTAATAAGATATCAATTAAATAAGTTATAACTCGTAACCTGTTGAACCAAAATAAATACATTATATACTTTTCTTGTAGAAAATTTAATCTTCTTCAATTTTATAATTTACTATAGTATACAAAAAGTTGATAGTTTTCGAGATATAATCAAAAAGCCCAAAATGCGTACCTTTTTCCCCCCCTTTTCCCCCCCTCCACCCCCTGGCTCACCACCTAGGAGTCAGGACTTTTGGTATGTTAACACCCTAAGCCCCCTGAACAAGTTTCTGAAGGAATCGCTTAGTTACCTGCTCACGCACTCTACACCTCATTCCTTGACTGGACTAGAATAAAAATTGGAATGCTAAAAAACAGAAAATTACTAATGTGGAAAAGGGTGAAAGTTTAGATGATGTGCCCACTTTACAACAGACTTTAATACGAACAGATGGTGGTACATTTGTACAAGACAATAAAAATTATGAATTTTTAGAATCAGAGAATGGTGTTTGGAATGCTAAGAAACGGAAAATTACTAATGTAGAAAAGGGTGAAAGTTTAAATGATGTGCCCACTTTACAACAGACTTTAATACGAAAAGAAGATGGTAAATTTGTACAAGACGATAATAATTATGAATTTTTAGAATCAGAGAATGGTGTTTGGAATGCTAAGAAACAGAAACTTAGCAATTTGATAGAAGGTACAGATAGTAAGGATGCTGTGAATGTTTCACAAGTTCCAAAAATGGAAGCAGGCTATTGGGATTTTAATAATAAAAGGTTAGTACGTGTTAAACCTGCCGTTGATGACACTGACTGTGTTACAAAAGAACAGACTATAACTTTTGATAAAAAAGAAAAATGTTGGGATGCCAAAAAACAATATATAAGAAATCTGCCAATGGGGGAATATTTAGATGATATTTGTTTAATGTCACAAGCTATGTATTATGATGGATCAAAATTTGTATATGGAGGAAGAAAATTTAATTTGATGGAATACAATCCTGATTTATTAGTTGCCGACCCCACATCTTTGAGTGGATTTAAGTATATAGATAATAGACCATATATACCAGAAAACTATGTATTTAAAAGAATGGAAGATAATCTATTGATTGGGGCTAATGGTAATATATTTACAGTACAAGGAAAGAGTGATGTTATAAAAAATGAATGAAATTGCATACGAACTTCATAAGCCTGCAAGAAAGAATTTCATTAGAAGGTCTTTTAAAGTATTAGGTATAAACGAAACTGTACAAATAGATTTAATTGATATGCAAAACTATGCTAGAGAGAATTCTGGCAATAAATATATTTTAACTTTAATAGATACATTTTCTAAAAAAGCTTATGCTGCTCCGCTAAAGAATAAGACGGGTTTGGTGGTTACAGAAGCCATTAAAACCATTCTACCAAAGGGGGTTAAAAACATTCAATCTGACAATGGAAAAGAATTTTTTAATCAATATTTTAGCAAACTAATGAAACAATTAAATATTAATCACTATCACACATTTTCTACAACTAAAGCTGCAATTGTGGAGAGGTTTCAGAGAACTTTAAAGAATTGGTTATATAGGGAATTTAGTGCTCAGGGGAGTTATAAATGGTTGGATTTACTTCCAAAGTTAATTCGAAAATATAATAATAAGGTGCATAGATCTATAGGAATGAAGCCTAACCAAGTGAATATTAAGAACAGTAAATATGTGCATGAGAGGTTGACTTCTAAAGTAGTGCAAGTTAAAAAGCCAAGATATAAGGTAGGTGATAGTGTGAGAATTTCCAAGTATAAACATGTTTTTAGTAAAGGATATACCCCGAATTGGACAGGGGAGCTATTTACAATAGCAGAAGTAAAGAATACCAAGCCTGTGACTTATATCTTGAAAGATGAAAATGGTAATATAATCAGGGGAGGCTTCTATACAGAGGAATTGTTAAAGACCAAATATAAAGACATGTATTTGATAGAAAAGGTTATTAGGAGAAAAGGTGATTTATTATATGTCAAATGGCTTGGGTTCCCAAGTAGCCAGAATTCATGGATTTCCACTAAGGATGTCCAAGGGAGCGCGCCATGAGCCGGGAGCACGCCCGAGTTCGCGTACAAACCTCGCTCGATTTTGTGAATGCATATGGATTTGAAATAGTAATAGTGTTATACAATGGTATTGAACATTTATATAGGCTTGTATAGGCCGAGAGCTGGATTTTTAAAAAAGTGGTCAAAAAAAGCTCACCATGTTATTCTTATGGGGAAAACGTGCCTAAAGTGATGGCTCTTTCTGGGTTCGCCACTACTGTCTATAAAGTATATTAGCTCGTCCAAGTACGCTTTTGTACTGTAGTATGTAGATCTAAGGCTGTAACTCTTTGGTAGAAATAACTTAATCCTGTTCGTAATCCCTTTGTAAACCAATCAACAATATTTTTTTATATTTTTATATTTAAGATGGTAGGCTATTTTTTTCCAATTCAGTTACTTTACACATACAAGTTAAAACATATAATATATACCTTTGTCCATAAATCACTGAGTTGCTATTGAAGGAACATCAAAAAAATGTTATCCTATGTTATAGCCTTATATGTTTTTGGAGTTGTGTTATAGTTATATAGTATTATTGATGAACTTTGTGTGTTTGATGACAGCCGGCGCAAGTGTCACTGCTACGACGGTGGACATCGCTGGAGGCGATGGGTGACGTCACTACAGACCTGGACTGTACCCACCGTGTCACCATGTCCACCACGGACGACGTCGACCATCGACTTCCTTCCCCTGAGGAGCAGGTCCACGCCATCGCGCTCAAGTAAGCTAAACAGCCTTCGTTATGTTGTACAACATACTTCGCTTACAACAATACACTATAAACACTCACCTTACATGCTGGTCAGGGTAGTAGAGACATGGGATGTCAAAGAACCTCTACATGTTAAGATAAAAATGATTTTCACTACGTTTTAATCAAATATTCAAAATTATTCTTGACAATATAATATACCGGGTGTCCGAAAAAGAACTCCGTAGTCTTAAAAATACCTCACGATAGTATTAGAATAAATGGATGAGTAATAATCCTTTGGTGCTGTAGAGTATACTTAAAAGTTTTATTTTGGAACATTAGCAATAAATTTGTTACACCTTTTTGACCTTGAGCGTAGTTATTATAGTAAATAATAATAATAATAAAATAATGATAAAAATTAGTAAAAATTGCTTGGATATCTGCAGGGCTACAAATGGTTCGCATATCGAGGTGTACTAGTGTAAAAAAAAACGGTAATTTCATTACCTTTCATTTTAATTTAATGTATCAGCTATTGTAATTTGTATATTGTACAATAAATAAATAATTTTTAAAACTAGGGAGTTATTTTTTGGACATCTCGTATAGTAAAACAATTTATATACAAATTTAGATTTGGAAATTGGAAAAATGTGTATTGGGGAGGCAGTCAGAGCAGCCTTCTAAGCCTAATATAATATGTCTCTGCACTCGATGAAGAAATGGATGTAAGCAGCAGTAAATAGGATGGATGGTAACAAAAATAACTAAGTTTTATCAGGCTGGATAACCTTTTTTTGTTTAGATAATGTTTAAAACATATACTTTTTGTTTGGGATCTTAAAAGCTAGATAAAATAAATAACTGTCTATAAAATAATAATCTCACTTCAGGTGATTTTTGTCAACTGCAAAAGTTTTTGTATGAGATATAATTCTGAGGATCAACAACAAACAAAAACTATCAAGAACATTGTTAAGAACAACATAACATTTTCAGTATATTTAGGAGTATTTAAAGTATTAAACTGCAATATATATGTATACTGGAATCTCTGCACTTTGACATACTAAACTGATGGTTTGTGCACCCAGGTTCCCGTCGGAGGTGGTGACGGTGGATGTAAGCGGTCGCAGTTTCAGTCGAATGTCTCATCTGCGCCGCTCACTGGTGCATGTACCTGGCGAAGACACCAGGAGGAGGTCTCGGCGCAGACCACGAGGCAAACGGCGCAACACCATCGCAGGCGTTGACACCAAGGAACTCGCTCAGGCTTGCGGGTATGTTTCAACCACATAAATATCACTAAAAGACATTTATGTTCTAATATAGGTTGCTGTACAGCTCTTTGAAAAACCTAAAACTTATCATTACTGCAAGAAAATTATAATGCACATCTAATGAAAACATGATACCTTTATCCTCTATACTTTAGGCATTAGTGATTTGATTTAAATGTTTGACTACTGTATTACCTTTGAATATTGATAATTTATTTTTGTAAAAAATACAACCGACTTCAAAACGCTCTAAAAAGAATGAAATAATTTTAATAAAGTAAACTTTTGTATTAGGCAAGCTCACGTATTTTAAGTCGGCGCGGCTCTATGATGATTTTTGATACAAAATTGAAAGAGGGTGTCCATATTGCAGGTGACCATCTATAACTTAAGGTGTTAATCTGCATGTCTTTTTCATAGTTATGCGTTAAGTGTTATTTTATTACCGTAATCAATGTTTCTAACTTGGAAAAGTAACGTTTTAATACTAAACTAGCTTCTTTTCCCTATCATAACATCAAACTAAATTATTTCCCTATTCATATAGAACATTTGTGTGTGTTATTTTCATAATGCATTTATTCTGAAGTAAACATAAAATACAAGAAAATATTTCCTTTAATATATAAACAAAACAGTTCAGTATGTTTTTCATATATATATATGTTATCCAGCTACAATTTATTGATTTTCAAAATACACACACAATATTTAATTTCAATCATATTTGCAGTTTGAGCCGCGCCGACTTGAAATACGTGAGCTTGCCTAATAAAAAAGTTTACTTTATTAAAATTATTTCATTCTTTTTAGAGCGTTTTGAAGTCGGTTGTATTTTTTACAAAAATAAATTATTTCATGATTTTTAGTGACTGTATAATTTTTTATATATTAATTACTTGAGGTTTTTTGATAAGCAAAACTGTTTGAAACAATCAAAAGTTCCACAGAACAATCATTATTTTAAAACTGCTTGAGTCACCTGTTCAGGTTACATAATCAATGGGTATGAAAATCATCGATGTATATAACTCAACTTGAGTTGAGTTATATACATCGATGATGAAAATAAACATTTTTAGATATTCCTTAAGAAAGAAAGAGTTGTCCATTACATTAGGCCTAGTGAAAAACTAATTGTATTTTTTAGATACATTGAAATGTCAGACATCATCGTTTCCTGCAATCGGTGTACTTCTACATTATAAAAAGAAATACAGTAACGTCTCAAGCCTTTTGGAACAATATATGAAAGTTATTCCTCAGCCACCAGCACTAAAAAATCTCTCAAAAGTGGAAAATTGGTCGTTAACACGTATAGTACCTTTGGAAAATATTATATGAAAGATTGGTTCAGCTAAAAGTGGTGTAAGTCATGTAGGGGGTTTTGTTTGCTCAAGATATAGCCTAGTCGAAATTGCAAATCATCTTCCTCTAGGACTTTCCGAAGCAGGCACAATAGTATGGATATGTTATAGTAACTGGGTAGAGAATATTAATAAACATTCCACATCTGCAAATGAAATATGTATATGAAAGATTGGTTCAGCTAAAAGTTGTGCAAGCCATGTAGGTGGTTTTGTTTGATCAAGATATAGCCTAGTCGAAATTGCAAATCATCTTCCTCTAGGACTTTCCGAAGTAGGCATAATAGTATTGATATGATAAAGTAACTGGGTAGAGAATATCAATAAACATTCCACATCTGCAAATGCATGTTTAGTAATTAAAATATTTAACACTTTTAAAACAATTGACGATTATGCACTGTCACACTTCTTAGGTCGTGTAAGGAATAATCGCATTTAATTTATATTTAGACCTGTTTTACGAATGCTTTGGTTTTCACAATACACCTTTATTTGTCAATATCATATTCACTGAAATATATATGTTTTTGTAAGTCAGAATATTCAATACTAAAAACGTAATTACTATACCTATACACAAATCAGGTCAAACGTTAAAATAAGTTTTTTATAGTAACCAAAACAAAATGCATTTTTCTCAATGTAATTCATTTAGGCTCCATGGCAAGAAATAGTTTATTGATCAATATGAAGCAACTGTTTCATGAAGAATTGTCTGTAGCTTCATTTAAATTGTTTCAACTAACAGCTGTAGGAATGTTATTATTATTTATTGCCTTCTCTGCACAAATGTAAACAATCTGCACAAATGTAAACAAAATAAATGTTGAATATTAATTTAAGGTTTTCAGAATTTTTCACCGAAACAAATATTATACTTAAACATAATATATAAGGTACCAAATAGAAACTCTCCTGGTTATTTTGGTGGTGGAACCACACTGATCGGTAAAAGAATCACAGAGAAATTGGTGAACATACATAGAAAAAAAAAAACATTGCCACAAACAAATTGAGAACCTCCTCCTTTTGTTGGTAGTGGGGAAGTCGGTTAATAAAACTAGACATTACATCTCCATGTTAAAGTTGTCGCCAGTTTTAAAATCAAAATTGTCATAGTTGTTTCTGAGGATCAACAGCAACACAAAACTATCAAGAATATTGTTAAGAACAGCATAACATTTTCAGTATGTTTAGGAGTATTCAATATTTAAAGTGTAAAACTTCAAACTTCAGTATATATACTGGAATCTCTCCACTTTGACATACTGAGTGAGCCACAGACAGCTTGTTCTGATGTAAATTACTGACATCTGTCAAATACACAAATAAGTTTTTTACCAAGTCAAATTGATAGAACGACTTAAAGTGAGCTATAGAAACTGTTTCTAATTTGACCCACTAACTATGTCAGCAACAAAAGATAAGTTAGAAAATCAAATTTTAGAGACTGGCTCACTCAACTATGTTCTAATCCATAATCCATATAGATGGAATGTCTACATCAGTGTTTAGTAGCCAATGCTACATAAGAAAGAGAAAATGTTCAAATCTGATCATGTACAATTTTGAAGCAATCCAGTTTACTTTTGGGCTTGAATTCATGTCATACCAGATGCTAAAGGTTGACAACATTGAAAAGTTTCTCTTACTTGGGCTTATATTCATGTCATACCAGATGCTAAAGGTTGACAAAATTGAAAAGTTTTTCTTACTTGGGCTTATATTCATGTCATACCAGATGCTAAAGGTTGACAAAATTGAAAAGTTTCTGTTAGGTACCGGTACTTCACAAATGACAAGTTAAGGTATGCATGCTTAGTAAAGAATTAACATGATTGAGTTTATTCATTTATCTAGTTTAATCCTCAACACTTACATTACAAAAATGATTAATTGCTAAATTATTATTGTCTTAAACGCTTCTATTAAATTGTACTGCAGTAGTCTTGAAACTGTTAACTTATGTTATAAAATAAATTTGGAAAACTCTATAAAAGAAATACAAAATACTACCACTGACTTAATAATCATTGCAGAAAGCAAGTTGAAGCTTTTTACACATATGGTTTTGGTGAATTGGCACAAAAACAGGAAGCTTATTGTCTTGTAATCTGATACAAACACACAACCATACAACCAATGTTTAGTCACGGTTGTCGTCATTTTACCAGGAATGTGAATGTGAGGTCAGAGTGTTAAATGTTGAATGTTTCTCAGAACACTGAATGTTGTATCAATCAGCTGACTAAAGTAGAAACTGAATCCAACCACCCAACTACTGTTTGGTGGCAAATGGTCCCAGTCGTCAGATGTGTACAGATGTTATTGTTAGTTAGGCTACTGATGCCAATGCTATAGGCTAGCTAATCTTGGCTTTTCGTATCTATATAAAATAATATTGAGTTTTACTGATTTTAGCGAATTTCCCTATATAGGGAATAAGCTATTACCGGAGTACTCATGGGAAGACCTGGACCCGGGACCGAATTACTTTTTGTTCTGAGGTCCCCAGTGGCCAAAAACACCATCCGTTCAAATTCATACATATATATATGTCCGTTAGCGCGATAACTCGCAAAAATTATTTGATTTTGATGAAATTTTGTAGAAACATGTAAACCTACGTAGGCCTATATTCTAACGAGTTCGCGAACCAGCATGATCGGACTATGGGAATGGGGGTTAATGGGGTAAAAATTGGGTTTTCCCATTTTTGACTAAAAACATAAAATTTCACAATTTCTTTCCAGACCATTTTGTAGAGCTTAAAAAGAGAAATAAATTTGTTTATTGAAGTGTTGTTGTATGCCTAATGGTTACGGAGATGATTGAATAAACTTTAAATGTAAAATTCCCATGTTATTCTTATGGAGAATAAACTGTTGTAGTTTGCTTGTTTATGGATATATTATAATCAAATTTGGCAATTTTGTTTATTTCATACTAAGATATCAACATTTCAATAAAACCACACTTCAATACCTTCCCAGTAGCAGCAAACCTAGGTACTCATTAAAATTATTATTATTTAAATAAGAAATCAATCTGAAAAAAATTCAGGGAATGTTTTAGTAGAAATCCAGCCAGGTAAATGGAAATTCCCTTATTCTGTAGGTTTTCTGTGGTGGGGCTATTTTTACATGTATTTTTCTCGGTTTGTTAACATGTGCTAATAAGAATGCAGTAAATGAAAGTAGTTGTGATACCTAATTATAAACCAGAAAGCTACTACAGAGCAATATCAGCGATCCAATTTACTTGGGTAAGGGTTAATTTACATACAAAAAGTTTCTCTTACGTTTTGCTATATTCTATTACTGTTACATTAAGATTTCCAATTTATTAGAAAAAGCAATAAATAATTTAAAGTTATAAGGGGACTTTTTTCCCATACCTAAACACATTTTTGAGCTAAACAAAAACCAAATTAAGCTTTTTTGAGTTTCATATTTTGGAAAATCTGAACAATTTGGCACCGGTGCACGAGGAAAGTGTTCATTACCAAGATGTGTGCAGATAGAAACATTAATAGTATTTGTGAATCCTCAAACAGTTTAAAAATAATACAATAAATGCTTCCATGATAAATGGTTATGTTTCTATAAAAAATATTCCTGTCAAGAATTTACTCAACCATTTTGGCCTTGCAGAGACTCATCAGAGGGTAACTTTGGAGCAACTCCCGAGCCAGAGCCGAGCCTGGGAGAGAAGAAGTCTCGTGTGGAGTCTCTGAAGGAGTGGGGCATGAGGCTACTGCGGACTAGCGAGCCTGTGGTGAGGCTACGACGAGAGGCGACACGGCGCAAGTGGGACAAGGAGGAACCAACACCTCACTCCAGCAGTGGCAACTGGAGTGCTTCCTCAGACAATGGCTCTACTGCCACGTCTCACCATCCCAGGTACACAACAGCACTAATAAACAACAACAAACTCCTCTTCTACATTACCTCACTCCAGCAGTGGCAACTGGAGTGCTTCCTCAGACAATGGCTCTACTGCCACCTCTCACCATCCCAGGTACACAACAGCACTAATAAACAACAACAAACTCCTCTTCTACATTACCTCACTCCAGCAGTGGCAACTGGAGTGCTTCCTCAGACAATGGCTCTACTGCCACGTCTCACCATCCCAGGTACACAACAGCACTAATAAACAACAACAAACTCCTCTTCTACATTACCTCACTCCAGCAGTGGCAACTGGAGTGCTTCCTCAGACAATGGCTCTACTGCCATGTCTCACCATCCCAGGTACACAACAGCACTAATAAACAACAACAAACTCCTCTTCTACATTACCTCACTCCAGCAGTGGCAACTGGAGTGCTTCCTCAGACAATGGCTCTACTGCCACCTCTCACCATCCCAGGTACACAACAGCACTAACAAACAGCAACAAACTTTCTACATTACCTCACTCCAGCAGTGGCAACTGGAGTGCTTCCTCAGACAATGGCTCTACTGCCACGTCTCACCATCCCAGGTACACAACAGCACTAATAAACAACAACAAACTCCTCTTCTACATTACCTCACTCCAGCAGTGGCAACTGGAGTGCTTCCTCAGACAATGGCTCTACTGCCACGTCTCACCATCCCAGGTACACAACAGCACTAATAAACAACAACAAACTCCTCTTCTACATTACCTCACTCCAGCAGTGGCAACTGGAGTGCTTCCTCAGACAATGGCTCTACTGCCACCTCTCACCATCCCAGGTACACAACAGCACTAACAAACAACAACAAAATCCTCTTCTACATTACCTCACTACAGCAGTGGAAACTGGAGCGTTTCCTCAGACAATGGCTCTACTGCCACCTCTCACCATCCCAGGTACACAACAACACTGACAAACAACAACAAACTCCTCTTCTACATTACCTCACTCCAAAACACCTGGGCTGCATTGTCCCTACTTATTGCCTATCTCAGGTAACTGAGATGTCAGTTATAACTCATGCTCGTTGTAATTTTATTTCACAATCACAATAATACTGTGTCAAGTTAAATTAATGTTTAATGTGTGCTTGTGAATTGTTTTGATTCTGTTAAATAATACTTTGTGTTTACTGATTGTGTCCTAACAAACACACTATGTGTTTTAACTAGTTGTTTAACCGATTCAGTAACAAAATTTATCTCTGTTGTTTTTAACATGCATAGTTTTAATAACCTTTTGTGTTGTTATGATGGAGGAGTTTAAGAAATGCTAATCATAAAAGATAAACATGCACATTTTAAAAGAAGTAGGTTTTATTAAAATGAAATCTGTATAAAAATGTGCTTGAAAAGTATGCATTCTTTGTGTCAAAATATCTCTCGTCTGAGGATAAAGGTAACATTTAGAGTCATTTTGTAAGAACAGAAAAGAGTTTTTGATTACAATTTTAGTTACAAGAATAGTGTATGAGTAATAAAACAATGTTATAGGTCAAGCATAAGCAGTGGCAGTACCTGTCAGAAGCATGGCCGCCGAGGAACAATAATGGTTTCAACTTCTTCTTCCGTTACAAGTGAAAGTACCCTGACACCAGACGATGGGGAGACTTGTTCCATGTATTCTTGTGACACTGAAGGTTACTACACCAGCTTCCACTTGGACTCAGGGCTCAAAACTCTTAGAGAAGAAGAGCCTCTACCAGCATTGCATTCAATGTCAGCTTTGTCCGGTAGCAGGGGCAATGGATCTACACTTACGGCTGATTCAGAGTATGAACTCTTTGGTAAAGGATCTACATCTACGACAGCGAGCTCTGCTGGTACAGTGTGTACCACTCTGCTGCACCCTCAGGCAGCTCCGAGTGTTCCTGAGAGAGTCAACAGCCAGCTGTCTGCGTCCTTGCCTGAGAGAGGAGTCAAGGCACTGCACAGTTTGAGCTCTAAAGATCCAAACGTCAAAGAAACGTCGAGCTTAAAAATAGAAAAGAAAAATTACATTAAGGTTGATTTCAAGAAACTTCAAGAACATAAATCAAACCTTACAAAAGAGAATGTGGCAAAGTTGAAACAGGTAGATGAGAAGAAAGGTATGATAACAGTTGAAGTGCACCACAACGGTGATAGTGAACTAGGACCTGAGAAATGTGGAGACTCTCCAGACTCTGGTCATAATACCTGTAGTTCTCCAGTGGACTCCATCACTAGCCCATCAATTGACTTGGAGATGTCAGAATGCTCAGATTTAGAAGGTATTGACAGGGTGGAGAGGATACGAGTTAAAACCACAATAAATTCAAGTAGAATCCCTTCAATGTGTGTGATCACACCACCTGTGAGTGATGATGAGGTGAGTTTGAATGCCCTAAGAGGACCAGTGGACATGGGTGATTACGTCACAATATCAGATGTCAAGACTCCAGACACTGTTTCTCCGATACTGACTAGAGAAACAGAGTATGTGTCCCTGAATGAATTACCTCCAAACGATTCTCTTGAGCGGAAAAGAAGGCAAGGTGCCAGAGTGACATTGGATTCTGAAGGAAAAGTTGTCTATTCTTCAGACAGTCTCAGGAGAAGAAAAGCCATTCACACAACTCAAACGTTCGAACCTGGTCCAAACGTCAATAAGGTCTCAAGTCCTGTAATGCCAAGAGCAGCCAATGTCAGACCAGTTATCACTAGTGAGAGAAGAGCTCAATCATCATCCCCCACGAGGATCATATCTCCCACCTCGACTTTGACCAGGCAAAGATCACAATCACCAGGTGTTTCCAATGGAAATACAAAACAGCAAGCGGATTCAGTCAATTTATCTAGTCAAACAGATTTTAATAGAAAACCATTATCTCCTGTTTCTTCAAATAGGCCAATATCTCCACTAGTGTCGGCATCCAACCAGAGGAATTCCTTGGTAAAAAGTAGAAGTCAACAATATTTTCCAAAATCTTCATATGGAAGCTTGTCCCCAACAAAGCCAATGTCACCATTGGTTTCTTCAGCCAATCAAAAATCACCAAATGAGAGAGATAACTCCAGACCACTGTCTCCCTCAGCGGTTTATCCGAGCCACAGATCAATGTCACCGAAGGCCGTTGTTCGAGCTAAGCAAGTAACCAAAGCGGTCAGCCCCATTACACAAAGGGGAGCCTATGTCAAAGTACAAGAGGAGCACGATGGTGTTGAAGATGATCTTAAAAACATCGTGAAGAGGAGTGATAGTTATCGAATGGCAAACAATGATACAAAATCCCCAATCAGTACCAACAGAAAGCAGTTAGGTGTAAACGTAATGGCAGGTCCAAACCTGCTCACAGCAATACAGACTGCTCGGCCAAGCAAAGGTAATATCATCACTAAGTACGATAAAACTGATATTTGGTAGCGTCGCACTGTGTTGTAGTTTTTAAATAGCTTTTTGTGTAAATTTGTTATTCCGTCCATATTCTTACATAGATTTTGAGTTTTAGATGCCTTTAGATCCAGTTTACTCTGTTTTAGTGAATTTAGTTTTGATTATTTAAGAATAAAATAGAATTTTACTTTAAAGAGGCTTGTATTTTCCAGTAGAAAATTGGCCTGAACCTAATCATAGTTGACTTCAAATTACCTACACCTCTATCTGAACTAAGGACGAAGAGACAGAAAATTTTCCTTAACAGCGGAACTGTAGATTCAATTTTTTTTACACCGTATATTAAATATCCTATCCTGCAATTTTAAGTGTCAGGTTCTTGTCAATCTGTAGTTTTTGACGGATAAAAAGTTTACTAATCCTTGTGTAAATTAATATATTTGTTGATTTTGTTCATCCTATTTTGTATGGATATAGGCCTACCAACTTGTTCAGAATTACTCATTTTACTTGTTTCCTGAATTACATTTCAATGTAAAGCTGTGATTTTACACTACCAGTTATGGCTGTAATTTGTTGGGTTTCTTAGAATGTTAGTAATGTTTTTCATTAATTAATAACTTAAAATTTTACTGAGGAAACATTGCATGTTTATTTTTTGTGTAGATTCGCATCACTGGGAAATTGAAAAAAAAACTTGGTTTTACATTAATCCACAAAACATAAAATTATGATTAAAGTTAAATATAATATTATTTTTTAAATTTCAATTAATTGATGTAGTGTCAACTATTATTAGTAGGCTAGGTCTTTTTACTATGTAGATGAAAGTACACGATATGTATTTGATTTGTCGAACATCACTGTTAAATCACCCTTATATAAATTGAGAGTCCTATTTTATATCTTACTTACATTTTTGTTATTGTTTTGTCATATTTCTGACTGAGTATTTGCCTTTTTTGAAAGAAAAAGTGCATTATGCTTTATACAGTTTTGTTCCTCACGAAGTCTTAGCTACAATTGATTATTCAATTATGCTATTTATGAACAGACTGATTTCTAACTGATGTTTGCTCATAGTTGTGTCATTAGTTAGATTGTACATGTAACTTTTATCTGTAAGCCTTAGTCTGTGTGTTGATTCTGATTTGCATGGTTTGTTTTGCACATCCGGCACCTGCTTGACTATGTTTCACAATGCAAAATATCTGTAATTTTAAAAATTGGCTTAGGTGCCACATATTTCATTTTTACATTTATGAGTCACTTAAAAAATACATTTTGAAAATTGGTCTGATTTTATGATCAAATAAATACATTTATGTCAAACTTGATTATTTTAAGAGTTGGTACCTATATTTTATTACCATTACTAATTGAGATGGGGACGCAATAGGTCTATTTTAACCTAATATTATATTATAGTTGCCCTATGATCAATATTACATTCACCGGATTACATTCAACCACCAAATAATAAACTATTTTTTTTATTTGATATATTTGAAACATTTGTTGAAACTAACAAAAACCATCCGTCTGTATAAAAAAGGAAAAGATTTGATATTGACGATGTTCATACAAAGTCCCTATGAATAAATTCTAAACTAGTTTTTACCTGTCAAATGGGTGTGTAGTGTCAACCAGGGTTTGTATAGATATAGTTTTTCTCAATGATTTAGATAAATTTCCATGTCTATACATCACTATAAGGGCATCGTTAAAAGTTGTTTTTTCAAAAACTTATTTGTTATTCATATTTTCTTATGATACCTTTATATTTTATTGTTGCTAGTAATAATATTCTTTTGTGATATTTGATACATAAGTTAGGTTTTCCTCATGTTGCAATATGTATAGTGTGTATATGAATGAGAGCATGGGTTTTCTTTGTAGTTCACTTGTCTTTTTGCTTTCTCCAATTGTACATATTTCCTTCTTTGGGTTTCTAACATTTAAGTTAGGCTGATTTTGCTTTGGTGTGGCTCCTAAAAATATATATGTTTTAAAACTAACTTTGATTAAAATTAAAATTACATTTTCCTAACTCTTACTAATTGACAACTAAAAAAGTATCAAAAGTACTCCAAATGTATGTTTTTAATTGAAATTTAATTATAAAATTCAACAACCTTTACATTAAGTGCTAATTGGTTTTGGAATAAATTAACTGTTGGTGGATATTAACTACATTTGGTGTTACATCTTCAAAATGCGATAGCTTATGTTTAAACAGATACAAATTAGTCACCCACAACCACAACTGACTGGGAGAATCCTCTTAGTTTTTATGAGTTATTTAAATACAAATTATTTTGTAAAAAATCCAAGGGTAAAAATTGTTATCTATAAAAGATTGCCTTGAAGAAGAAAGCAAATGGACAGGTGTTTCTTGGATGATATGGATATTTTATATTTTGTATATATTTTTCTAAGTTGATTTTTTATCTCTGAAATATATTACACTTTACAATAAATCCCTTTGTTTCCCAAGCATTCAATTACCTTGTGTTCACGTTAGGATCTGGCAAGTTATAAAGTGTTTATGATAACAGGGGTTTCATCAGTAGATTCTATTATTTAAGTATAAAATAGACAAACTAAAAAAAAAATATTTTTAGTACCTATAGAGCACAAATACATTTATGTAGTAAATAGTAATGTTCAAATTTAAATGACAATTGTTTTTTGAAAGGTTAATTTTTCCTTTGTATCAAAACAGAAAACAATAATGCAAATTGGTCTTAGCATAACTTTTCATAAATTCAGATTTTAGTAAAGTTTTCAAAGTATTTCCTACAAGCCAATATTTTACAGCCATTATATTATTCTACTTGTTATGTAACTTAACATGGTGGTTTCTGGGGGACATGGTTTGGCACTGATCTGCTTAGGAGGATTGATATTTTATTACCAGATTAAGAAGCCAAAAAAGGTAAACATAATCCCTGTCACCTGAGCTTGATGAGTTATTATAATCTACTGATTGCTGGGGTGCTTTGGACAGATTAGGCTTCCTCACCAGATTTAGTTTCTGGTTTGAATTTCAGAATAAAATAATGGGACTTTTCAAACATTGGCCTGATATATCATTATAATGTAACTTGAAAGTTATGTGTCTAAAATAAAACAAACGTTAAAAGTTGTAGTTTGGGTTTTGGTTGTGTGATTGAAAGAGTGTAATATTCTGTTTTAAAACAAATCACTGCTCAAAATCTTATTAAATTTAGTAGTTTAATCAGTTTTTATATTGTAAATTGAAATCTTAATTACACTTTAGACTTATTACATACAAAATCCTCTTCTGTTTGATTGCATCAAAATTAGTTATTCATGATTTGTTTCTAAAATCAATACTGTAATCTGTTGTGAATTTGTGCAATGCTTAACTTATAGTTGCACAGCTTAGAAATTTGCACGGCTTGAGTGTTGCTTGCACTTAATGGTGGCTGTCTGTGTTATTAATATCAAGGTAAGTGCACTTAAGCAATGGTACTTATAAGTATAACTGTAAATGTTCTGCTTGGTTTCTGTGACTATAACAAAAGAATATACAACATTCAAACTATTGATTTTAATTTGGGATAAACTTTGATAAAGCTTTGAGATAAACTTTTTAACCTTTATTAACCTTTATTTTAATTATTCCACAACAAAGAATCAGCAGGGATGTGCTGTAGAATCAGTTTAGAATTTCTCTAGTTAAAGCAATACTGTTTTTGAAACATTAAACATTTTATTTTAATAGTCCCTATCCATTCGAATTTGCACAATTAAACACCACTATCATGCTAGACATGTAACTTCTTCAGTGGCGTACAAACCACTTTTATCCAAAATGAAATATATTAAATATCAACACTTTTTCATTACTTCTAAATATTGAATTAAAAAGTCACTCTCTAATGTTAGTTATATTATTCTAACAATTATTGCAATGACTTGAATGTTTCAGATGGCTCTTTGCCAGAGCAGAATGTTTCTACACCAGTAAAGCAGATGTTCACTGTCAGCCCTGCACGTTCACACCTGCTGAGCTCCACCCCCACCAAACCTAACACCAGCTCCAACCTAGATTTTAGCATGAACCTATCACCCATCAACACTCCTGTGTCATCCCAGCCGTCTCGCAATGCGATGGACCTCTACGCCATCATACACGAGTCCAAGAAGAAGATCATGAAGCTTCGTGAGCGCAACTGCTCTCCAACACTGACTGAAAAGATCTCCAAACTACAGTCTTCCGCGGTCCAGACGGCTCCAGCTAAGACACAGGAAGTCAATAGGCTGATGAACAGTAAAGCCAACATACCTATTAGCGACAACGTTTTCAAGATGAACTCCAACTCAAGAAGTTCAACTCCAGATAACTCTGTGAAACAAAGAATAAGTCCTATTATTAGTGAAAGATATTTGAGAGACCCTCGATCAAATGTTCCTGAAAATAATTATGCTGAAAGACTAATGAGAGCCTCGCCTAGTTCTAGAAGTTCTACTCCTGAAATGAGTCTCATAGAAAGGAATGCTAGGACTGCTCCTGGCTCAGGTAGTTCAACACCTGAAAAAAATTTCAGAGTTATTCCTGAAGGGCCAAACTGGCCCAAAGCCATTCCTGCTTCTCAAGTTCCTAACCTTAGAAAATCCCCTTCTTCCTATGACTATTTAAATTTAAGTCCATCAGGTCATTACCAGAGGACCAGATCACCCTCCCCTCTGCTGGATGTTAACCAGTTTCCCAGCTACCCTGACTACAGGTCTCTGCCTCGGATGTCTCATAGGAACTCTCCCACCCCTCAGAGTCCTGTCAGGCAACATGTCTTTGCCCCGAGAGATCCTCCCTCACAGGATGCTAGGATTTCCTCTCCTCAACATTCCTCTTTTGCTTCTGATCGACTTGGAAAAGTACAGCCCACTTCCCGAAACGATTTTAAGCAACTGCTTCTTCGAGCCAACTGGGGTACAACACCTTCAAGTGGATCTGCTGTTGAAAGATTAAAAAACCGAACGTCGCCAGTAAAACCAAAATCGTGGAAATCGGATATTCTCTCTTCGACAATACCAGAAGATTGTCGAGAAGACGATGAACAATCCGATCGAAAAACTCTAGAGAATATGTCTGGAGAAAATAGATCACCAGGTTATAGCGGGGGTATTCCTAAATCCAGTGCCTTAGTGAATCAACAATGCAAAGCTTTTGATAACCACAGAGCAAGCCCAACAGATAAAAACAGAATTAGTCCGACATTAGAAACAGCATTATAGTTGGGCATGTAAATTATGTTAAAAATATTCAATAGAAATTTAAAATGTTTGAACCTATGGCAAAACTTTTTTTATGTCAAAAGCTTAAGTAAAATAGATTAAGAAAACAAAGGCTGAATAGTATTTTAATTTTCAATAAATTGTTCAATACGTTGGTTTGATACAATTCAATTCAACAATAATCATTAAAATAACATTATATTTTTTGTGTTATGTTATTAGAATTGTAGGCTTTTTAAAGTTATAATATTTACTATGCATATAACCACTTTGCAAACAATTTGATTCCTAACCTCAATCCTATATTCAAAGCCAAAGTACTGACAAAAAATTTCTTATGACTAAGTATCCTCACATAGCAAACAGACTACTGTATTTTCAAGTTATTTTATCAGTAGGATGATTTGAAAATAAAACTGTCAAAGTTTTTTTTTGTAGACTAAACCCTATAATCTGTCATTCCATTAAATCTTGATCGTATGATATTATTTAATCAAAGCTGAACTTTTGTATAAGTTAACAGATTTCATAAACAAAGATTATTTTTAACTGTTAGTTTTACAAGTTATTATGATGTTGTAATACCTCTATCATTAAGTATTATTTATTGTGACGAGAGTAATATATTTATTATTAAATTTTATTGTATATCTTTTTGTATATTTTGTAAATATTACTTTTTTATTTCTATATACTATGTATATTATTACTTCTTGCAATGCCTTAGAATATAAATTAAAAATTACATTAAGGATGTAACGGTAAAGCTACGAGGGCCGTCCAGAGAGTAGCAGAGTTTAGTATTGGCACTGCTTAGAGCAGTGCATTCGCCGGCATCAGAGCGTTCCTAGGCTCATTACGCATCCGGCTACTAAAGCGTGCGCCATGGGCGTCCATCAATATGGGCAATGGGGGGCTTGAGCCAGGACAATGAGGAACTGTGCAGGAATTTTTCAATTGCACTGGGTAAAACCTGTTTAAGTCTGCGGTCACAGTGAAATTGTTATCGTTTTCCGTGGTCACAGCTAATATGTAAACTCCATCTGCGATCACGGTAAAATCGAGATCATCATCCATGGTCTTTGCAAAATCACGCACATCTTCCAAGGTTAATGAAAAGTCTTGAACATCTTCTGCAGTAACGGGACATTCTCGTCTCCCATGATCACGGTAAAATAGTCAATTTTAGATTGTGAATCTTCATAAATGTTTTTCGGGGTCGCAGAAATTTGCGCTCAACTCGTTCCAAGCTTGGCCGGATGATAATTTTCTGTCCGTACAGATCTCTCGTGCCAACTGTTGGTCCGACCAGACCCAAAAATATGGAGTACCCGCAGACCCCGAGTAAAAGGTACACTTGGCAGCTAGAAATCATGCCCGGGATAACCAGGTTTTTCTTTCGGTAAATCTGGAAAAATTGATGAATTTTGTCTAGGAGTTCTGCCCACAATAACCACATCTTTTTGGATCGTTTGGTAAAAATATAAAACTTAAAAGTCACACTATGTCATTGGACACAGTAGTATTAACATTCACATTTTTAAATATTGCAAAAAATATAAATCGACAAAGCAAATTTAGGTTTAAAAAAGCGTAAACATTAACATATTTATCTAAATTGTAATAATTTTCCAGGAGTAACCCTAGGACCGGGTGGGGTTTTAAAACTAAAAAGGTTTTTTTTTACTGGGATTGATTTTAACACGCCACTGCACACTGCAGACAAAGTAAGTGAGATATGATGTGCGTACTGAGTCAGAGTGTAGGAACGCTCTGATACTAAGGTAGTAGCGATATCACCATTCCTAGCAGCACTAATGCAAAACGTCTGTTACTTTCTGGATGCCCCTTGTATTTTGAAATAGGCTATACAATTTGTTAAAGTTCAAAGTATAACAATTAATTAATTCCATACTGGAAAGGAGACATTTTTTTATTACAAATAAATGTTAAGAATTTCTTATCCTAAAGTCTATTGCTTACAATAATGCAAGGTATTAAGTTAATAACTAAATACTGTATTAATTATATCATAGGTGAACATTGGAAAAAACACATTTAATACCTAGTTGAGGTATCCTTCAATAGGCAAATGAATCACTGAATTCCATGACAAATCATTTGTTAACATTTTATTAACCTCCAACTATTGCAAATATGTCTCTTACAAACAACAGTTTTTCCCCGTTAAAATTTAAATAATTTGTTTTTACATTTGAAATTAAAAACACAATACATACTAAGGTTTAGAATTTCAGCACTGACTGAGAACAGTGCAAGGCTTGACGTCTCATCCTATTGTCACATCTGAATTGTTTTGATGTAGGCTTCTTGTTGGTTATACAGTGCATTTAATTATGCTGAATAAATTTTACTCTTTTTAAGATTTTTGTCAGAAACGAGAGTACAATTAATTATTTATTCAAATACATTTAACAATACTTAAAAAACAAGAAACAAATAATAAACACCTTTTATATAAACGGTACGAAACATACATCAACACATATTGTCATATTGCAGGTGATCCATCAGGATGGCAAATCTATTAAGAGTCGGCCAGACCGCCGGCCAGCTTGGATTGTATGCCCATAACGGCAATGTTAATGGTTGAAGCATATTAAAGCATTGTTTATAAAAAGTTGCAAAATATCTCATTTTAAAGCTATTGAAACAGCAGATTTGATTTTGTTATCTACTTTTAAATTTTAATTGTTATTATTTTGTCAAACTACATAAATATATTGACTTAAACTGTGATTTTTTTCAACCTCTCAAAAAAAAATTTAAAAAATCCAAAAAGCAATTCCCACGGAAAAAATATTTAAGAACCACATAAAATTTTCTGCTCAGTAATAAAGCTTTCAGTGCTTCAACGAAAACGCATGTTTTTGCTGATCGGCGCTAGGACAACCACTGTTTAGCCTGGCATCTGACAGTCATCAACAATGCAAAACTATTAACTCATGCTGACTCTTAAAAAGTAATGTGAAATAATTAAATGACACATGATGTGGCATAAAGTCCCAAAGTAACTTTGACATTTAACAATTTATTTTCTTGTCAAATCTGTCAATCGAAGTGGTTGAAGGTTTCCTAGTTATCTGAATCAAGTAGTTAATAGTAAAATGATATTTTGCAAGTCACATTCATTTTAGTAAATTAATATTATACTTTATTTTTTATCAAAAATTTTAACAGTCAATAAAATCAAATGATGTTCTTTTTTAATAAGTATGTTGTTGTAAACATAAAAAAACATGCGTAATTATGCATGTTTTTTTATGTGCGTAATTATGCATGTTCTCATGTAGTGAGTATTATAAATCTAGTCTTTGTATAGTCTCATATATAAATCAGGGCAATAAATTATTTAATTTCAGTGCCTTGTAATTTCATTGTTGTTTGCTTCAGATTTTTTACAGATTTAAGTTTATTATTGTACATAAAATAAATAATTGCTAGCTTGAAATTGTTGTTTTTTTACTCTTTCCCATGTAAACCCTAATACGCACGTGCGTATAAAAATGGTAATTTTTAATAATTTTTCAAATATGGTGGCAACCCTGGTGAGCATGACACTAGCTTCCTAAAATAGCATATGCTATCATCTGGCCGCAGAGTTGTTAGTCTTGACCGAGTCATTGACCTGTTATCACCCCCTGGGTCTGGCATACCCCCACCCACGTGCTTATGTTACCAGTACAGTGTTTATTGGGGGTCTAGTGTACTCCCGTGCACATAGTAGTGTCTCAGATTTATTATCATAATAAGTATTAATAACTTTATTATTTATAATTTTGATAGTATTGAAAGTTTGCCAAAAAACTTAGTATCTGTAAGCCAATTGGATGGAAATGTCCAACCATAGAGTCCACTGATCTAGCCTCCCAGTGCAAAGGCCCGGTGCACCGTCTGCCTTGGTAAAAAAGTACGCCAAGACCAAATTTAAGTGTAAAACCTTAAAAAACAAACTATTGTGCCAGGGACAAATGTAAAGTATTGGTGAAGTGTGTTTAAAAGGACTTCTAAACCAACCACTGGACGAGGATTTTCAAAGAAAAACACATTAACAAAGAAAGTGTTTAATTTTTTTTTTTCTTCAGTACTTTCTACAAACCGGGAAATGTATTAATTCATGAAATATTTACTGCTTCCATGGCTTTTTACAAGTAGGCCTATCAAACTTTTGTAAAATAAAATATAATATTTGTTTGCAATAAAAACATGATTAACTACGATTTTCCCCTCTTCAACACCATTATTACATTTCATCATGAAAAAATTAAAGGTTAAAACTATTGTTTTCAAAATAGTTAAAGGATATGGTAGGATCATAAAATGTACGCAACAATATGAGAAAATGAATATAGATATTATGTCTAAAGTTTAAGAGCTAAATATCATAAACTTGTTTAAAATATAGTCTACCAATTTTTATTTGGGGGTCCACTAGACCCCTGAGCGCGCTCCAGCGTAAAAAAAAGCAAGCCGTAAATGTAGTATTATATATCAACCACCCTTTAAACCCTTGTTTAAAAAATTATTTTATATATCAGTCAAAGAAAATAAAAATGTTCTGACCAGCAAATGGATCCGTGTTAAGCAAAATAAGTTATCCTACTCAAAATCATAAATAATTAATAAGCTTATTATCCCGGTGTGGGGAGGCAGGGATGCGTAGATTTGTACAATAATTGATTTTTTTATCTAACTGTTAAAAAGAATATTTTACATTGTGCATGGTCAGTACAGTAAGGAATCCACACAATCACTTGGAGAGATTAATAATTTTTACCAGTTCTGCTATGCAACTTATTTTGCAAGTAAAAAATCATGAAGAATATACAAATCATGTTGTCACAGTGGTAAAGAAAATCTAACTAATGTCAGATCAAATTAATACATGAAAGAAATGTTTACTGGTAACAGCTATAAGTCGGGAAACATTTGTCAAAACACTAAAAAATAAGGCCGGCTTCTAAAATATGATCAAATATTTTTACAACAACTGTTTATTATTTCAACCCATTATTAATAGAGTGAGTATTTCAATTAGTTACATAAGCTTTGAGTCTTTTAAACTTATCAAAATTATAACTAAAT